GCAGGCATCAGATAAGAGACATTCTGGGCATAGATGAGAACAACAGATGAGGAGGGAATTATCTTAGTGACTTTGTTTACCCAATTCCAAGAGTTTGAGATGACCCTGAGTTACCTAAAGGGCAAGATGTTACATCCAAGATGGCAGCAGATACATCCAGTTGAGTCCCTGTGTCCACATTATTGTTAAATTTTCTATAATTGTGTATTATCGGTCTCTCCTTCTTCCAAGAGCTTTTTAATGGGAAAATTCAATTTTCCCAACATTTTATCCACAGCACCTACAATAGTGTTCCATAAATAGAAGGTACTCAAAAGCTATGTAATACAGCAAGGAATGACTCCTCTCCCCTGGGGGAGATGTGGGACCTTACTAGTCATAGTGGCTAGAAAATGGGATATGCTTCCATAGAGTTTGTGCTGTAACATTTTACTTCTACCAAAAGCAACAACTTTAAAAAGGTTCTTAAAATTTATATTTATCTATTTGAAAGACAAAGAGATGTTCAATGAGAGAGAGGAACACAGACAGAGTCATAGAGACAGGCAGAGAGATCTTCCATCCAATGGTTCACTTCCCAAATGCCTGCCACAGCCAAGGTTGCACCAGGCTAAACCAGGAGCCCAGAACTCAATCCAGGTCTCCCAACTGGACTGCAAGGACCTAACTACGTGAGCTATCACCTGCTACCTCCCAGGGTGTGCATTAGCAGGAGCAGAGTTGGGACTTGAACCCAGGCACTCTGAAATGGGCATTCTAACTGGCACCTTAATCGCTAGTCCAAACACCTTTTAATTTTCCCATCCCAGTTTCTGACACTTCCCAGTCATTGTTTACATGTGGCTATAAAATGAATATATGAGGAGTGAGCACTGTGGCATAGCAGGTAAAGTCGCCCCTGCAGTGTCGGCATCCCATATGGGTGCCGATTTGAATCCTGGCTGCTCCACTTCTGATCCAGCTCTCTGCTATGTCTTGGGAAAGCAGTAGAAGATGGCCCAAGTCCTTGGGCCCCTGCACCCATGTGGGAGACCGGGAAGAAGTTCTTGGCTCCTGGCTTCGGATCGGCGCAGCTCTAGTCATTGCGGCCAATTGGGGAGTGAACCAGCGGATGGAAGACCTCTCTCTCCCTCTCTGCCTCTCTTCTCTCTGTGTAACTCCTTCAAGTAAATAAATACATCTTTTTAAAAAAATTATACTTACTGGGCCAGTGCTGTGGCGTAGTGGGTTAATCCTCCACCTGCAGTGCTGGCATCCCATATGGGCACTGGCTCTAGTCCTGGCTGCTCCTCTTCCAATCCAGCTCTCTGCTATGGCCTGGGAAAGCAGCAGAAAATGACCCAAGCACTTGGGTCCCTGCACCCACGTGGGAGACCTGGAGGAAGCTCCTGGCTCCTGGCTTTGGACCAGCTCAGCTCTGGCCGTTGCAGCCATTTGAGGAGTGAAAGCAGATAGAAAACCTTTCTCTCTATCTCTCCCTCTCTCTGTAACTCTACTGCTCAAATAAATAAATAAATAATATCTTTTTAAAAATTATACTTACACATATGTAAAGAAACTTTAAGCCGAAGCCTCGGCTCAATAGGCTAATCCTCCGCCTGCGGCGCCGGCACACCAGGTTCTAGTCCTGGTTGGATGCCGGATTCTGTCTCGGTTGCCCCTCTTCTAGGCCAGCTCTCTGCTGTGGCCCGGGAGTGCAGTGGAGGATGGCCCAAGTACTTGGGCCCCTGCACCCATGTGAGAGACTGGAAGAAGCTCCTGGCCGTGGCCCTGCCCTGCCCTGCCCTGCCCTAGCTGTTGTGGTCATTTGGGAAGTGAACCAGAAGATAGAAGATCTCTGTCTCTGTAACTCTGCCTTTCAAATAAATAAAATTTAAAAAAGAAAAATTAAATCTTCTAACTCTGAGTCTTCTGTGTGGAAACACACAGCTGGACCACCTTACTAGCCTTTGTCCAAAGTCCAGTTGAATTTCAACCTCTTCTGTCTGTGAATTGTTTCCATTCTGGAACAGTTCAGTGTATGAAAACCAGCTGCCAAATACAGAAGATGCTGTGGGATCAAAGAAAGAGGACAAATCCAAGATCACACGGAGTATAATTTACTGGGGAACTTTTAGACAGAAACCTGGTCTTGGGCAGCCATGAGACACATGGATCGCCACTCCACAGGCAGGGGAGTTTAATAGCCTAAGGCAGCCCACGGCTGGCCTAAGTGCAGCTGGAATGTATCAGAAACGTTCCAGGCATTCGATAAGGGGCATTCCAGAGTCTGACCTGGCAAGACAAGCCTGGCAGGTTTTATTATTTTTTTTCCTTTTTTTTTTTTTAATTTATTTGACAGATAGACAGTGAGAGAGAGACAGAGAGAAAGGTCTTCCTTCCGTTGGTTCACCCCCGAAATGGCTGCTATGGCCAGAGCTAAGCCGATCTGAAGCCAGGAGCCAGATGCTTCCTCCTGGTCTCCCATGTGGGTGCAGGGGCCCAAGCACTTGGGCCATCCTCCACTGCCCTTCTGGGCCACAGCAGAGAGCTCGACTGGAAGAGGAGCAACCGGGACTAGAACCTGGTGCCCATATGGGATGCCAGCAGGGCAGGCAGGGGCTTAACCTGCTGTGCCACATTGCCAATCCTTCAGTTTCTGTTGCTTTAAAAGCCTACAGCCTTGGGGCCGGTGCTGCGGTGCAGCGGGTTGAGGCCACAGCCTGCAGTGCTGGCATCCTATATGGACGTTGGTTGGAGTCCAGGCTGCTCCACTTCCAATCCAGCTCTCTGCTATGCCTTGGGAAAGCAGTAGAAGATGGTTTAAGTCCTTGGACTCCGCACCCACAGTGGAGACCCGGAAGAAGCTCCTGGCTCCTGGCTTCGGATCGGCGCAGCTCTGGCTGTTGCAGCAAATCAGAGAATGAACCAGCAAGTGGAAGACCTCTTTCTCTCTGCCTCTCCTTCTCTCTCTGTGTAACTCTGGCTTTCAAATAAATAATAAATAAATCTTAAAAAAAAAACAAAACCGTACAGCCCTGGTATTCCCAGGTGGTCTCCCCAGGCCGGCTCTGTCTCTTTCAGACCCCAGGCACCTTCACAGCACGATGGCTGCACTGAATATGTGTTTTCTTCCTTTCAGGTTTATTTATTCATTTATTTGAGAAGCAGAGTTACCAAAAGAGGGAGGGAGAGACAGAGAGAGAGATCTTCCATCCACTGGTTCACTCCCTAAATGGCTGCAACAAATGGGGCTGGGCCAGGCCAAAGTCAGGAGCCTGGAGCTTCTTCCAGGTCTCCCACGTAGGTGCAGAGGCCCAAGGACTTAAGGCATCCTCTGCTGCTTTCTCCCACCATTAGCAGGGAGCTAGATCGGAAGTGGAGCAGCCAGGACATGACCTGACACCCATATGGAATGCGGGCACTGCCAGTGGACGCTTAGCCTACTATGCCATAGTGCCAGCCCCTGAATATGTTTTTTCAGTTCTCTTAGATATCTGAGTGTCTTTTTAAAAAATTGTGGGGAAATGGACTTAAAAATTGATGAGCATTTTCTTCAAAGTTTTTGAAATGCCCTCAACTACTCGGGACTGTAATTACTGAATCATATGGTAATTTTGTGTTTCTTCAAAGTTTTTGAAATGCCCTCAACTACTCGGGACTGTAATTACTGAATCATATGGTAATTTTGTGTTTAATCATTTTTCTTTTTCTTTACTTGAGAGGTAGAGAGAAAGAGAGCTCTCCATCTGGGTCTCCCACAGGAGGGTCAGCGACCCAATTACTCGAGCCCTCACCTGCTGCCTCTCGGGGTCTGTGTTAGGATGGTGTAGAACTGGGAGCCGGACCCAGGTACTCCCATATGGCCTAACCAGCAGACAAACACGTGTGTTGAACTTCTGAGGAAATACCAAAGTGTTTTTCCCGGTGGTTGTACTTTACATTTTACATTTCTACTAGCAAACGTATTAGGGTTGCAATTTCTCCATATCCTTTCCAACACTTGCTATGATTGGTTCCTTGTTGCTAGCCACCCTGTTGGGTAAGGAACTGCAGCCTAAGCTGAAGTCATGAAGATTCCTGCCTGTTTCCTTCCCAGGGTCTGCAGCTGGAGCTCTTACAGTCATCTATCTGATAAAGTTTGAGAAACTTTTGCACATGCTATATGGCTGAGGCCCAATTTCATTCTTTCCATGTGATAATTGTTGTTGATAAAATTCTTTCCCCAGAGAATGGTCCTTGCACCCTTGCCATTAATCAATTGACCACAGGCATAGCGGTTAATTTCTGGACTCTGAGTCTATTCCATCACACTGACTTTTCATTTTACCTTTTTATAGGTCGCTTTTGGGATTATTTTATTTGATGTTTTATCTTCAAAACTTCGAAAATTGCTTATCATTGATCCAGTTGTTTGAAAGTGAGTCAGAATCAATTTTTTAAAATATTTTTTATTCATTTCATTTTATTTTGAAAGGCAGAGAGACAGAGATACAGAGGGACAGATGGAGGGAGAGAGAGAGAGAGAGACAGAGAGAGAGAGAGAGAGAGAAATCTTCCATCTACTCATCTACTCCCCATATGTCTGCAATAGCCAGGGCTGGATTAGGCTAAAAACAGGGGCCTGGAACTAAATCTGGGTCTCATTCTGGGTCTCCAACTTGAGTAGCAGTGACCCAGTTACTTGAGCCACGACCTGCCCCCCAAGCTACACCGTGGCAGGAAGCTGGATTGGAAGCAGAGCAGCTGGGACTCAAGCCAAGTGCTCATCCCAAGTGGTGATTTAACCACTGCACCAAATGCCCACCTTGAGCAAGAACCAAATTTGCTGTTTGTAAAATTTTGTTAAAAACAAGGAGAATGACTTCATAAAATGCTGTTACAATGTTAAAATATGTTACAATTGTGAACTTGGTTATTAGCATCCTTTCTAAAATTAAAGACTTTCTAAAATTATAAAATTATAAGACTCCAAGAGTTCATTTTAATATATCAAAAAAGAAAATTAGTATAACAAAAATATGAGACACGATATAGCATAATACAAAGTAAGAACATGAATAGTAATACATGAAGTAACAATTTATAATAGTTAACTTTCACAAATTTATATACAGTAAGATAAAAATAATACAATTAGTATACAAATTTTCAGGGTGTGTGTGTGTGTATCTGCACTGCAAAGTTGCTAGGTAACAACTGCTCAGGGATATGATCATCTTGAATATTTTTCTCACCAGCAAGCATAGTTGTTAGGGACAAATATGAAGCCCATCCGTGTTGGCTGCCTACACTTTCCTGGTTAAAGTATGATTTCCTTGTGGTGCTCTCTCATCCTTCCCTCCTAAATGTGATTCTCTTTCGTTACACTCTCTCACAGCTATATATTCAGGAGAAGGATCATACCTATACAAGTGGAAGAAAACCTTGAGCTGGTTGGAATTGCTAAGGTTAAAAAACCCGCCAGAGATAATAGACTTTCCTCTTGTCAATATTCAAGTAACTCCCTCCCAAGTGTTCATTAAGTAGTATGTGTGAAGTTTATGGGTGTTTCTAAATTACGGACTTCTTTTAAAAGTCTGTGTTTCCAGAGGATTTGGTACGAGGCATAAAGGCCACATTAGAGTGCCTTCTTCACAGTCCTCAGATGTATTTTTTTTTATTTTTTATTTATTTTTTTATTTTTTTATTTTTTGACAGGCAGAGTGGACAGTGAGAGAGAGAGACAGAGAGAAAGGTCTTCCTTTTGCCATTAGTTCACCCTCCAATGGCCACCGCGGCCGGCACACCGCACTGATCCGATGGCAGGAGCCAGGTACTTATCCTGGTCTCCCGTGGGGTGCAGGGCCCAAGGACTTGGGCCATCCTCCACTGCACTCCCTGGCCACAGCAGAGAGCTGGCCTGGAAGAGGGGCAACCAAGACAGAATCCAGCACCCTGACCAGGACTAGAACCTGGTGTTCCGTTGCCACAAGGCGGAGGATTAGCCTAGTGAGCCATGGCGCCGGCCCCCAGATGTATTTTTAAAGATGCTTTATTACTATAACCTTAAGTGACCACATGTTGTATGCACCTCCTCCCACTCCAAATCCTCTAACCTCCAAACGTGAAAGCATGCAGCAGACTATTTAGACACATAGCACACGCTTGGATATTAATCCTTGGGAGACGTGGTCTGGAGTTGAGTCACCCAGCTTCTCTTATTAGGAGGTTCCCTAATCACAGCCTGATGGAAAAGTTTGTGTTACTTGAAAGTGAACCCCGGAGGAAGGGTAGAAAAATACATCACTAATACCACTGACAGCTCCCGTGAATCATACAGCAAAGGATTTTGAAATAAACACATGTAGTCCTCTCACCACACTTGTTAGGATCTACTTTCTGCTTTCATCTCACCTAAAAATCAAAGGACATTGACCCCTTAGGATGCTCCCAGCTTCTGTTATTCTGTTGTTCCCAGTAAGGGAAGATGTTGCATTCCAAACAGCAACAGGTGTAGCATTACCCTAGTAGGCTTGTGTTCCTTCTCTATTTTCAAGAATAGGTATGTTTAGAGTCATATAGAAATGTCTTTTTCCTAAGCTCTAAGAAGGTGAGAGCTGAAGTAGAAAAACAGAGAAGACTTGAAAGATTTTTCTTTTAGCCATCATCTTCAGAAGAGAGGTTTCATTGTATGTGGCGTTCCTGGAAGTTGTGATCAAAGTCCCAAAGTACGAAACGCATCTCGTAGGTCATCGACCTCATAAAGGGGCTGTAAAGAAAGAGAGAAGTTAACATTAACATTGAGTTGGCAGGGCGGGGTTCTAAACTGAATGGATGGCTTTATAACATTTTGAAAGTAAGCAAATTGGGAGGGAATAGGAAAAGGGGCTGGGGGAGGAAAGAATGCTTTAAAAAGTTTTAAATTTGGGGTAGGCGCCTGCAGTGTTAGCATCCCATGCGGGTGCTGGTTTGAGTCCTGGCTGCTCCACTTCTAATCCAGCTCCCTGCTAATGGGCCTGGGAAAGCAGTGGGAGATGGCCCAAGTCCTTGGGCCCCTTCACCCCTCTGAAGGCCCCAGAAGAAGCTCCTGGCTCCTGGCTTCAGATTGGCTCAGCTCCAGCCATTGTGGTCATTTGGGGAGTGAACCAGCAGATGAAGACCTCTCTGTCTCTGTCTCTACCTCATTCTGTAACTCTGTCTTTCAAATAAATAAGATAAACCTTTAACAGAGAATTTTAAATTTATTATTATTTATTCAAAGGGCATGAAAACACACACAGAGAGGAACAGAGACAAACAAATCTTCCATCTGGGGTTGGGCCAGTCCAAGCCAAGAACCTAGAGCCCAATCCAGCTCTGCCATATAGGTGGCAGGGACCCAAGTACTTGAGCCATCACCTGCTGTCTCCCCAGGGGTGTATTAGCAGGAAGCTGGAGTCAGGACTCAAACCCAGTCACCTGCTAGGAGATGCAGACGTCCCAAATGGCACCTGAATCACTGTGCCAAATGCCCAGCCCAGGCAAGAATTCTGACCAGGAAAGAAACAGAATCCAAGCAGCGACTGACAGACAGAAGACACGTGAAGCCATGGAAGAGCAAGAGAGAGAAGGAAAGAAATCCTCACACAGGACTCTGAACTGGGGAACAACAGAGAAACTGAATTCCAGGAGAAATTCAGTTCTCACTGGAGCATAAGTGAGAGTGACCCAAAAATAGCAGAGAAAGGAAGACCCTAAGGGGACAGCAAGGGGACCCCTTACCAGAAGGATGCGCCGGAGCTGTCTGGACAGGCGGACAGAATTTTCATGCAGGCCTTCCCAGGCCTTGAACGTTCTCTCACGGTTCTCCACGAAAGTATTCCAGCAGTAAAAATAATCTTTAAAGAGGGCGGGCGAGGGGTGGGGGGAGGACGTAGAGGATAAGCTCAGGCCCCAAAGTGGGGAAACCAGAAAAATTCTAGCCCTGCCTTCTCATTTCCCCAGGGCCTCGTCTTCAAGCTACCAATTTCTTACCCTCGGTTTCAGTCAATAATTTGACCCCAAAGGTGACCACAACCCCACTCCGCCCTCACCCCGGCGGGCCCCCCCTCCCATCGGCGACGCCAGCCACGCCCAGCACCCTGGCCACCTTTGAAGGTCATGATGCCGAGCTGGACACCCGCTTGGTGCAGCCGCCGCAGCCCCTCGGGCTCGGCCTTGCGGTCCTCGCAGAAGTAGAGGCGCGCGGTGAAGATCCTCAGAGTGAGGTTGGGGTTGCCTCTCAGGAAGTCAGCCACGTGCCGGGCACAGTCGTAGCACGGGCTCCAGGAGGTGAACCAGGTGACGCGGTAGCAGCGGCCGGGGTCCAGGTCCCAGTCGGAGATGTAGCGGAGGAAGAGCAATTCCACGTGGCAGCCGTTCTGGGGAGAGAGCAGAGGTCTGAGCTGTCCTGCGGGTAGCTCAATGGGCTTTCTCTCCCGCAGTGGTCTTTCGGAATGCTTGCCGTTAACGATCCTCGCTCAAAATAGTGCGCTAGGAAGTGCTGGGCGAGAACCCTTTCTAGCGCCTCTCTGTGTGCCTGTGCGGGGACGGAGAGACGGGTGGAAGAGTCTGGAGCAAACAGCACTGCAGTACCTCTGTAGAGAATTCGTTTGTGTTTGTGAGGATCCCTTTACAATTTTGTGTTTCGTTTTATTTAATTGAAAGGCTGAGAGAGACGAGAGAGGGCTCCCAAGCTCTGGTTTACTCCCCAAATGCATGCTTGGGCCAGGAGGAAGCCAGGAGGAGCCTGGAACTCAATCTAGGTCTCCCATGGGGGTGCCGGAACCCAAAGGCTTGAGCCACCACCTAACGTCTCCCAGGGTGCGTCCTAGAAGGAAGGTAGAACTGAGACTGGAGCTGGGACTGGAACACAGGTACGTGGTGTTGTAAGAAAATTCTAGACACTGCTAGGGCGAAAAGCAAGTGCAAAGCAGCTTTTTCATGTTATAGTTTCTGTGATCGTGATCTTAGCTGCAGTAGTGAATTATAACCGACAGGTTCACCGGTCCTGCCCCAGTCCCTGGTCCTGGGGTGGGAAGACCCCGGCTCCATTTCCCAGCTTCATTACTCACAGGGCTTAGCCAAGTGACCTCACTCTGGTTTCTTCTACTTCCTCCCGAGTGAAGGTGCTGCTGTGGTGAGCACTGACTGAGAGGTAAGTGAAAGTGTTGCTAAAACCAAACTCTTCCATAAATAGAAGGCAGCGTGTCACCAAACAGGAAAGAGATGAGAGTGTAAAGTAACGATGATTGCAAAGGAAAATACCAGGGCACTGCAGAAAGTCTGCGAAACTTTTGAAATCCATGCAGAGTTTTTTTCATGTTGTATCTTTTCATGAATGTCTTGAAGATCCCTTGCTTACATGGATTTCAAGTGGGTTTTGTAGCAAAATGAACTTTTAATTGCATTTCCCATGAGCTTTCTGGAATTTCTCCCACGGGGTGGGGTTCCACCAACACTAATGGTCATAGCCTGCAGTGATGGGGGAGATATCCACAGAGAGAGGCTTAAGCCCGCCAATCTGGATTTTGATGGAGTATCTTAGAAATGTGATTCTCTCAGGCTAAAAGATTGAGACAGTGAATCAGTCAGCTTTTCTGAGCTTTCTGGGGCTCTCTGTGTTGAATGTATTCACAGGGATCTAGGAGGGACTAGATATCATTTGGAAAACAGAGTTAAGTCAGAGTTCGTCTTTCCCAAATTCTTCTCCCTTAAATTTTTTTTTTTTTTTTTGACAGACAGAGTGGACAGTGAGAGAGAGAGACAGAGAGAAAGGTCTTCCTTTGCCACTGGTTAACCCTTCAATGGCCGCCACGACTGGCGCGCTGTGGCCGGCGCACCGCGCTGATCCGAAGCCAGGAGCCAGGTACTTCTCTTCGTCTCCCATGCGGGTGCAGGGCCCAAGCACTTGGGCCATCCTCCACTGCACTCCCTGGCCACAGCAGAGAGCTGGCCTGGAAGAGGGGCAACCGGGGCAGAATCCGGCGCCCCGACCAGGACTAGAACCCGGTGTGCCGGCGCCGCTAGGTAGAGGATTAGCCTAGTGAGCCGCGGCACCGGCTTCTCCCTTAATTTTCAAAAATCCTAAAGACAAAATTTGATTCTCACTTTTGAAATTTTGCTTGGTGGGTGAGTGCTATGGATAAGCGGTTACGAGAGAGTGCTGCTGGGGATGCCCACACCCCAATCTGAGTGTCTGAGGCTGAGTCCCTGCTCTGCCTCCAATCCAGCTTCCTGCTAACGTGCACCCTGGAGACAGCAAGTGATGGCCGAAGTACTTGGGTCCTTGCCACCCACACGGGAAACCCAGATGAAATTCCAGGCTCCTGGCCTCAACCTGGCCCAGCCTCAGCTGTTTGGGGGAGTGGACCAGAGGACGGACGATCTCTGCCTCTGTCTCTCTACCTTTAAAATGAACACAAAAGTGCCATTTTAAAAAGGAAAAATAAAATGTTGCTTGAACAAATTGATTGCATCCCCCCAAATAGAAATACTCTTTTTTTTTTTTTAAAAAAAGCAGTTATTTATTTATTTAAGAGGCAGAGATAGCAGACAGAGAGAGGGAGAGACAGAGAGAAAATCTTCCATCCTCTAGTTCACTCCATAAATGCCAATCTGAAGTCAGGAGCCAGGAGCTTCTTCCAGGTCTCCCACGTGCTCTTACCTTAGTCTCAAAGGCCATTCAGATGCCGAGGGGAGGGGAGGAAAGTGTGTGGGCTTTTGTTTTGGCTATGAATGCTTTGCGTGGCACTAGGGTGCCCAGCGTGCTGGGGAGGACACTATTCTTTGGGTTATGCCTACCATGGGTGCGTGGACATGTGAAATGGAAAGGAAAAGAAAGAGGAGTTGAGGAAGCTGGTAGAGACACACGTGCAAAGGAGGCTGGAAGTCAGACCTGCAGCCAGTGGCCTAAAGCGACCACAGGTTAGCTTTTAACCACCGGGGAAGCACACGTTCATAGCTACCGTGTTGCGCAGGTAGCCGAAGTCCAGTGAGAAGGAGGTGGCACTGTCCCGCCGCTTGACCACGTAGCACAGGTAGGTCTCGTGCCGGCCCTTAGCCCAGCGGACATTCTTGAAGTGATAAAGAAACTTCTTCTGCTTCATCAAAAGGCTGTGGGGGAGAAGGGGGGAACAGATGCAGGCAGGCCATCCTCCCATCACGCTGGGCTTCCCTTCAGCTCTGTTGCTGTTCTAAGCTGACTGTGACTTTAATTACACCACAGACTACACCCTTGCTTCCTTGCTGGATGCCTGAGACCTCCTGAGCTTGGAACCCACCACAGGCTCTTCCTCTTGCTCATGTTTGAGGCCAACACTGGGGGAGACCCAGGAGGAACCCATGGCCGTCTTCTAAATGCTGGTGACTTGGAATTACAAACTTGTTTCAAGGGGCGAACATTGTGTCGTACCAGGTTAAGCCACAGCCTGTGAAACCCACATCCCATAGGGACACTGGTTCGAGTCCCAGCTGCTCCACTGGCAATCCAGCTCCCTGCTAATGTGCCTGGGAAAGCAGTGGAAGATGGCCAAGTGCTTGGACCCCTGCCCCCTGTGTGGAGACCTAGATGAAGCTCCTGACTTTGGCCTGGCCCAGCCCTGGCCATTGCAGCCATTTGGGGAGTGAAGCTGCAGATGGAAGATTCTCTGTCTGTCTGTCTGTCACACTTTTTTCAAATAACTAAAATAAATCTTAAAAATACAAAAAACCCTTGTTCCTCCATCCCATGATTGTCTTTTTAGAAGCTCCCTCTTGTGTCTACCTAAGTGTCCTGTAGGTACCTCAAACCCTACCTGGTCAGAACAGTGTCCCTGAACTGCCCACTGCCCTAAGCTGCCTCTTGGCCTAACTTCATAGCTGGGGAAGCAGCCGAGAGGCCAGCAATCACCCTTGATTCTTTCTTCTCTCTCAGCTTGCATGAATCATCTAAACTGTTGATTCTGTTGGGGTGCAGTGCAGTACTTTGGCGGACTGAGTGCTGTCAACAAAGGGAGCCTGGAAGGCCGCAGAATCTTCTCCTGCCCTCCTGCGGCCACCTGTCCCACTTTCTCCCCTCAAGTGAGTTGTAAAACTAGAATTCCTCTTCCCCAAGGTGTGTCACAGAAACTGGAGCTTCTCTTTCCCAGAAAAGCCATAAAACCTAGAAAGGTCACTCTGTCCCCTCTTCCTGGAAGGCCCTCGTTCCAGATGGGATGTCACACAAGAGGCCCTGCTGGGTGTCCTCCTCAGTCCACTCCACACACCACACCTGTCTGTCCACTCACATTTCTACCCAGTGGCCATCTGCATCAAACCTAGGCGTACAAACAAGTTTCCTGGCGTCTTTAGGTTTTCCTTTCCTTCTTTCTATTTTTTTTTTAAGATTTATTTATTTATTTGAAAGGCAGAGTTACAGAAAGGCAGAGAGAGAGAGAAAGAGAGAGAGATCTTTCATCCACTGGTTCATTCCCCAAATGGTCACAATGGCCGGAGCTGGGCTCATCCGAAATCAGGAGCCAATAGCCTGGAGCTTCGTCTGGGTCTCCCAAGTGGGTGCAGGGGCCCAAGGACTTGGGCCATCTTCTATTGCCCTCCCAGGCCATAGCAGAGAGCTGGATCAGAAGTGGAGCAGCCAGGACTTGCTATGCCACAGTGCCAGCCCCCATAAATATACTTTTAATGTATAAGAGCAATGCATCATCATCGTCAAATTTGAATACTACAGAAAAATACAAAGTTTCAATTTTAAAGTATTAAAGAATTTTTTTAAGGGGACAGGCATTTGGCACAGCTCAGTCACCTGTTAGGTCACTTGAATCACATGTTAGAAGGCAGTTCAAGTCCTGGCTACTCTGCTTTTGATCTAGCCTTTCCTAATGTTCCTGGGAGGGCAGTGGAAGATGTCCCAAGTGCTTGGGCCCCTGCACCCACATGGGAGACCTGGATGGAGTTCATGGCTTCAACCCGGCCTAGGAGTGAACCAACAGATGAAAGAATTGCTCTTTCTCTCTCTTAAAAAAAAGATTCGTTTTGTGTCTTCTCTATTTTTTTTCTGTAGATATGTATTTCCATGGTTGGGATTATGCTCATTTCATGTGTGACTCTGGACTCTGCTACTTGTTGAGCTCAGTAAGATAAGTATTGTGGCACATGGTTTACAAGCAGGGAATGTCTGCTGTTTCTTTTTGTTTTCAAGGTCTTAGTGGTGTCTTATGTATCTTAAGCACTAAATTGAATCGAATGTGTGGGAATATTCTTGGGTAACCCGAGTTGCTGTTACAGCTGTGAACATAATAGCACAAGCTGTACAGTGTGGTTGGTATTAAAGCTGGAGTGGTGTCTGGGTTTTCTCCCTAGTCTGTTCCAGAAATGTATTTATCAAATTCCTGGAGACAGTGCTGCCACCTACTGGTGTGGGGGAGAAGTGCAGAGGATTTGTAAAGTAAAGGCTTCGTCAGGAATTTGAATACCGTTTTCTGGCAAGAGAATTGAAACCTTTTTCACCTTTTTGTTTTTTTTAGACACTGAGGTTTAATTTACATACAGTAAACTTCATCTATTTAAAACATACGATTGTATGAATACTGGCAGATGGAGACACCCCACACTGCTCCTGCAAACAGGACACAGACCATTTCCAGGGCACTGCCCCCATCCCATCATGGATTCTTTATCCCTCTTAGCAGCCAAGGCAATCCCTGATTTGCTCTCTGTCACTATTAATTCCTTCTCCTGTTCTGGAATGCTATATAAAGCACGCAGCATGTCCTCCTCCATGTCTGACTTCTTTCACTTAGCGTAATGACCGGGATTCACCCAGGTATCCGCAGCTCATTCCCTTCTCCTGCAGAATGCGTCCTGTGGCGCAGACGTGAGCATTTTGCTTACTCTTTCACCTGGTGATGGGCATTTGGATAGTTTCCACTTTGGGGATACTGTGAATTAAAGGTACTGTGGAATTAAAAGATGTTTATTTTGATGCAAAAAAATTTAAATCTATGCACAATTTTTTCACATTAGACATTTCCATGAACTTTTTGAAGACCTCTTATAATTGAAGAATTGATATTTTATTAAAGTGATTGTCCCTGACATTATTTATTTTAAAAGATTTATTTATTTATTTGAAAGGCAGAGTTACTCAGAGAGAAAAGGAGAGGCAGAGAGAGAGAGAGGGGGGTCTTCCATCCACTGGTTCACTCCCCAGATGGTCGCCATGGCTGGAGCTGCAATAATCTGAAGCCAGGGGCTAGGAGATTCTTCTAGGTGTCCTACATGGGTGCAGGGGCCCAAGGACTTGGGCCATCTTCCATTGCTTTCCAGGCCACAGCAAAGAACTGGATCAGAAGTGGAGTAGCTGAGACTTGAACTCGCGCCTATATGGCAGTGGCTTTACCCGCTATGCCACAGTGCCGGCCTCGTCCCCGACTTTAAAAGCTAACTATGGTGGGAGCCAGCATTGTGGCAGAGCAGGTAAAGCTGCTGTCTGAAACACTGATATCCCGTATGTTTGTGGTTCTTGTCCTGGCTGCTCCACTTCCCATCCAGCTCCCTGCTAATGGCCTGGAAAAAGCAGCAGAAAATGGCCCAAGTATTTAGGTCCCCACCACCCTTATGGGAGACCCAGATGAAGTTCCTGGCTCCTGACTTTGGCCTTGCCCAGAACTGGCCATCGTGGCCATCTGAGGAGTGAACCAGCAAATGGAAGATCTCTCTGTGTCTCTCTCTCATCTCTGAAACACTTTCAAAAAAATAAATAAAATAAATCTTAAAAGTTAACTGCTGAGGCCAGCATTGCAGTACATTGAATTAAGCCACCACTTGCAATGCTGGCATCCCATATCAGAGTGCTGGTTCTGGTCCTGACTGCTCCACTTCCAATCCAGCTCCCTGCTAATGCACCTGGGAAGGCAGCAGAGGATGGCTTAAGTGCTTAGGCCACTGCCACCCGTGAGGGAGTAAGGGAGCTCCTTGTTCCTGGGATTAATCTGGCCCAGACCTGGCTGTCGCAGCCGTTTGGGGGGTAAACCAGCAGATGAGAGATTCTCTCATTTTCTTGCATTATACCTTTCAAATATACAAATATTTCTAAAAAATCTAAAATAAATAAAAGTTAGGTAACAAAATGTCAACCTTATCAAGTAGCTAATTTAGGACAAGAGTCCATCATAGCTTTTTCAACTTGAACGTCTCCCTTTGCACACATGACACTTACTGGGAAGCACCTTGAGGCTGGGATTTAGATCTGTCATTTTATGTACATCAAACAATAGAAAAATTAGTCAACCATATTATTTTTAAATTAAAATGGATAATTGACAGGTATCAAAAGGGAATACTAACAGAGTTCCAATAAGAATTGATTTTACTTTTAAATGCTAATAATTTATTGTGATATTCACTATAACACCACCACTATTATATAATTAGCATAAAATAACTCTTAGCATATAAGAAGAAACTTGAAAAAGTTCATGGAAAATAACATTAAAAGATACATCTATTTTGGTGCAAAAAAATTAAAATCCATGCATGTGACAAGTCTATGAAAAAATTGTTCATGGATATCAAAATATCTTGCATGGAATAAACTTATCTTTAAATTCCATTTCCCGTGAGATTTTTAAAGCACCTCATATAAGCCCAACATAATAGATGCTTAATTTTAATACAGAAGAGAAAGGGAAAAAGCTCTCTCTTTGGGGCCCAGTTTTAAACACATTTAGCCTATGGCCCTGGTCTGTGGAGCTGGCACTGTGGATGCGGGGGGCGGGGACAGGGGGATGGGTGAGGGGGTGAGTATCACAGAGGCCGTCAGGAGGCAGGAAGTGCAGAGAGGAAGGGCGTCACGTGACTCTCAGGCCCACTCCCAGGTGAAGGCGCAGTGGATCTGCCCTGTTTCTGCCTCAAGGTGCCACCTGAGTGCAACCAGCTGCAGGATCCCGCTCCGGCCCCGGGAATGGACTTTCCTGCTCCATCACTGCGCTCCCAGCTGTAGGCAGGACCGGTCTCCAGCGCCCTGTTCTCCTGTCGTCCCCTGTGAGCTGGAAAGGTTTTGCTGGGGCCGATTTCTGGCCTGCAGGTTGACAGCTGCTCTGGACAGCTGTGCCTCCTGAGGCAGAACATGAGCTGCGTCCCCAGCTACACCGACCATAGGCACCGGGTTAAAAATAAGCCAGACAAGGTCATCTCCTCGCCCTCTCAGGAGCCCTGCTGACTCCGTCTTCCTCAACTCTGCACCACCCTTTCCTCCTCTTGAGTCCCATCCTTGCCCACTTGTCTTTCTCTGAATTTCCACCGCTGACTTTGCTTTGCATTTTGTTACGTACAACTGTGTCCACCAGGCCCTTCCCCAGGTTTTATGCCAGGGGACTTCAATAAGTGCATGGAAATGAACTTAACAGTTGTGTTTATTTTGGTGCAAAGCATTTTGAAGTCCATGTATAGGAGGAGGTCTTCAGAAGTTTCATGGAAAACTACACTATGAAAAATGACCTGGGATCAGTTTTCAAGATCTCTCTGTAAACTGAGGGACACGAGACATCGTCTTCCAGAAAAGTTTTCTTAAGAATATTTAATCTACCCTTAAAATCTTAACTCTGTGCTGCAAATTCTTTGTAAAAGGACTAAATTGAGATAAGGCACCTGGATTAGGAATGCACTTCATGGATTGATGGTAATCATACCAGGAACAATAGAGTAAGTTCTATAGTAATATGCTGTCAGACACTGCATTGGAAAACTTCGTGAAAATCATACAAAATTCCCATTTAAGAAGCGATTATGCCACATCTGAAGAAGTGGAAAGATCAGTTACATAGAAAAAAATGCCAGTAACTGCCCAACATGGAGCTGTAGCATTAAATAACTTGCTGGAATGAAATTTCCTCTTTATAATAAACAACATCATAATGGCTTTCAAGCCACTAATTTAGAAATGTTGGCATTTTAGAAAAGTACACACTTCCTTACATGGTTAAATTATTTCAGCAACCTCTCCTAGGAAAGTTTGGTCTTCAAATGGTTTTATTGTTGAATATTTAGAAAATCATTATGAAAATTCCCACTACTGATTTTAATGCATGATTGCTATGAGCTTTTCTTGATTTGAGTCCTTAAAGATGAGTTATGTTAGCGCTGTCACCATAAACTAGTTCTAACTGCAGCAGAAATCTCACAACGCGTCAGGATGTTATGCATAATCACACATATCGAGAGAAGTATGGAGCAGACAGAATGAGGCTGAGAGAATGGAAACTCTGAACAGGACTTAATGACAGACACGGATTCAGAAAAAAAAATTATCTGCCTGCTGACCCAGCAGATTCGGTGAGTCAGAGAGTGGTAGGAGAGAAAGGGACAGCCACCAGTCCCTGGCTCAGATTTGCAGAGAGAAAAGACAGTGCAGTCAGCCAGGAGGACTTTGCCTCTTTACCTGTTTATTTCGGGATCCAGGGTTGCTTCTGGGCTGTGAAAGTCTTAGGCCAAGGAAATGTTGCCTCAAGCCAGGCTGCTTTGCTGCCTCTGTCTGACAGTGCAGGGCCCCTGACATTCAAATCTGAGCTTCCCTCAGGGCTCCTCCCCCGACAGCATCACCACCACCAGGTACCCCAACAGCCTTCCTCCTCATTTGGGTGCGTGAAGGTGGGTGGGGCTGTCCAAGCAGATCACACAGGTTAGGTGATTGGTAGCACTTCTGCTTCATGCTTAGGTTCATTCAGAGCTGCGTCTCTGAAAATCCAGTCCCTGAATCACAGGTAACAAAAAGTAGGAGACGGTAGCACTAGACTTTTCTTAAGTTGTAATCATGAAAACAGATAATACATGTTTGATCTTTATGGCATAACAGTAACAGTGATATCCATTTAAATGGCATTTAAGTCTTGTGTTCTGAGAGCTAAAAGCATCCCTGTTGTCTCCTTTAGTTATACAATATCTCTGGACCTCAATACAAACCAACACGAACAGGCCTTTCTTTGTAGTCAAGCAAGTAATCTGTTATATAGGATTTAGGACACATAAAATTTGCATCCCAGACTACTGATTTTTTTTCCTTTTTAAAAAAAGATTCATTTATTACTTATTTGAAAGGCAGAGTTATAGAGGGAGAGAGAGAGAGAGAATGAGAGAGAGGTCTTCTGTCTGCTGGTTCACTCCCCAGATGGCTGCAAATGGCCAGAGCTGAGCCGATCCGAAGCCAGGAGCCAGGAGCTTCTTCCAGGTCTCCCATGTGGGTGCAGGGGCCCAAATACTTGGGCCATTTTCCACTGCTTTCCCAGGCCATAGAGAAGAGCTGGATCAGAAGTGGAGCAGCGGGGACTCATATGGGATGGGATGCTGGCACTGCAGGCAGGGGCTTTACCCATTGCGCCACAGCGCCAGCCCTTTTTTCCTTTCTAATTGCATTGCAAGAATTGCTATATGCTTACACCAAAGAGTAACATTTGCGGGAGCTGTCTTTTCTATAAAGTCTTTGAGGGAGTTGGAGGGAGCAGACATTTGGCCTAGTGGTTAAACAGTGGTTAAGATACTCACACCCCAAGACTGGCCTTGTGGCGTAGCAGTTAGAAGTCAATAGGTCTAGCTTGGACCTCTCCCTTGAACTCTAGACAAGCCAGCTTCCTTCTCGGCATCTCTGTGTGGATGTCGGAGCATCTGAGATATGTTTACCGCCAAGTCCCTGATCTCCCTCCAAAAATGTTTCCAGCTCCTTGTGCCATCCTCCTCGTCTTAGTGAGTGGCAATGTCATCTTCCTAGTTGCTCATGCCAAAAACCTGGGATTCACCCTGGAATGTTCTCTCTCTTTTTCAAGTATTTATTTATTTGATTGAGAGGTAGAATTACATACAGAGAGAGGGAGAGACAGAGAGAAAGGTTTTCTATCTGCTGGTTCACTCCCTCAAATGGTTGCAACTGTCAGGGCTGGCTGATCCAAAGCCAGGAGCCAGGAGCCTCTTCCATGTCTCCCACGTAGGTACAGGGGCCCAAGCACTTGGGCCATCTTCTGCTGCTTTCACAGGCACATTAGCAAGGAGCTGGATTGGAAGTGGAACAGCTGGGACTGGAACCAGCACCCATATGGTCTCTCTTTGAAACTCCATGCCCAACCCTTGTTAACTCTATTGAGACTATAACCAGCAACAGACCATTTCTCACCACTGCCAGGTCCAAGCAACCTTGGATTATGCACTTTGCCTCCCAGCTGCCCTTCCTGGGTCTTGTCTTGTCTTTTCTTTTCTTTTCTTTTCTTTTCTTTTCTTTCTTTCTTTCTTTCTCTCCAAGATTTACTTATTTATTTGAAAGACAGAGTTACAGAGAGAGGTAAAGAGAGAGGTCTTCCATCTGCTGGTTCACTTCCCAGATGGCCACAACGGCTGGAGCTGCGCCAATCCGAAGCCAGGAGCCAGAAGCTTCTTCTGGGTCCCTCACGTGGGTACAGGGGCCCAAGGACCTGGGCCATCTTCTATTGCCTTCCCAGGCCATAGCAGAGAGCTGGATTGGAAGTGGAGCAACCAGGACTAGAACTGGCGCCCATATTGGATGCCAGCACTTCAGGCCAGGGTGTTAACCCGCTGCGCCACAGCGCCAGCTCCCGGGTCCATCTTTCGATTACAGTCTTCACTTCCCCACACAGCACTCCAAGTATTTGAAGTGTTTTTGATCATGTCAATCCTCCGTCTAAACTCTCCACGCCTTCCCACCTCCTTCGTCTAAGCCGACATCCTCATTTCCTTTTCTTGTTCTGCTTGCAGGTGCCTCCACCTGGAATGCTGTTTCCCTGTACATCATTATGGCTTAGGTTCTCATGTTTTGCATTCGTTTATTTTATTTTACTTGAAAAACCAAGAGACAGAGAGGGAGCTGCCATCCACTGATTTACTCCCCAAATGCTTACCACAGCTGGAGCTGGGCTAGGCAGAAGCCAGGAACCTGGAACTCAATCCAGGTCTCCCATGTGAGTGGCAGGAACCCAACTACTTGAGCCATCATTGCTGCCTCTGAGGGTGCACCTTAGAAGGAAGTTGAAATTGGAAGACAAGCCAGAACTTGAACCCAGGCACTGTGATACAGGATGTGTGTATCTCAAGTGGCATCTTAACTGGTGCTCCAAACACCTGCCCCTTTACAGACAACTGTTGTGTAGCAAGGTGGCTGTCTAATGCAATACAATACTGTATGGTATCCTGGAAACTTGTTATCAGAATAGATTTCAGGCATTCTCACACACAGGCACAAAAGGTCATTGTCTGAGGAGGTGGATATGTTAATTAGCTTAGCTGTAGTAACCATTTCATTAGGCACGTGTATGCAGATCCTGAGAGCTCTGAGATGCCATCTGACCTGCCCACATGGTGGACGGGAACTAAAACTAGGAATGGAAGAGCAAGAGAGTGACTCTCCCTCGGGCCACTTCAGTAGATGAACAAAGCAAGGCTATTTTTAATCTTCACAAACTGTTTAAGCTTCTGATTCCATCTCCTCTGCAGCCAAGGCAACTTCCCCCAATCCCTGCTCTTGGGCTTCAGCCATTGTCTTCGTCCCCACTCTGGATCTCTCAGCCTGTTCTCCAAGGTCCCTGGGCCCCTCCTTTTCTGAAAGTTGAGTAATATTCACATATACACACATGTTTACACACACAAATATATGCATATTTCACAATTTCTTTTATTTTAATTTCCTTTTTTTAAAGATTATTTCTTTGAAAAGCAGAGTTACAGAGAGGCAGAGACAGAGAGAGAGAAGTCTTCCATCCATTGGTTCACTCCCCAAATGGCCACAGTGGCCGGAGCTGCGCCAATCCAAAGCCAGGAGCCAGGAGCTTCTTCCGGGTCTGCCACGAGGGTGCAGGGGCCCAAGGTCTTGGGCCATCCTCTACTGCCTTTCCAGGTCATAGCAGAGAGCTGGATCGGAAGTGGAGCAGCTGGGACTTGAACTGGCACCCATATGGGATACCAGCACTGCAAGCGGTGGCTTTACCCACTATGCCACAGTGCCAGCTCCTCATAATTTTTTTTTTTTTTTGACAGGCAGAGTGGACAGTGAGAGAGAGAGACAGAGAGAAAAGCCTTCCTTTTGCCGTTGGTTCACCCTCCAATGGCCACCGCGGCTGGCGCGCTGCGGCCGGCGCACTGTGCTGATCCGATGGCAGGAGCCAGGTGCTTCTCCTGGTCTCCCATGCGGGTGCAGGGCCCAAGGACTTGGGCCATCCTCCACTGCACTCCCTGGCCACAGCAGAGAGCAGAGAGCTGGCCTGGAAGAGGGACAACCAGGACAGAATCCGGCACCCCGACCGGGACTAGAACCCGGTGTGCCGGCGCCGCAAGGCGGAGGATTAGCCTAGTGAGCCGCGGCGCCGGCCCACAATTTCTTTACCCTTTCATCCACTGACAGGCACTTAGATTGTGCTGTCTTGGCTGTGGTAAATGATGCTACAATGAACATGGGGGTACAGATTCTCTTTCAGGTACTTCTCTTTGTGTGTCCCCCAGAGGAGGGATAGCAGGGTCACAAGGTAGTTGTATTTTTAATTATTTTTTTTTAATTTTTAAAAAAGATTTATTCTATTTATGTGAAAGGCATAGATACTGAGAGAGGGAGCGATATAGAGGTCTTCCATCCACTGGTTCACTCTCCACATGGCTGCAACAGCCAGGGCTGGGCCAGGCCAAAGCCAGGATCCAGGAGTTTCTTCCAGATCTCCTATGTGGGTTCAGGGGCCCAAGCACTCAGGCCATCTTCTGTTGCCTTCCCAGGCCGTTAGCAGGGAGCTGAATTGAAACTGGAGCAGCAGGGACTCAAACCAGCAACCATATGGGATGATGGTGTTGCAAGCAATGGTTTTATCCACTGCACAACACCAGTGCCTGTGTTTTTAATTCTTTTGAGGAACACCACAGTGTTCCACACAATGGCTGTACCAATTGACACTCCCATCCTCAGTGTCCAAGGGGTCCCTTTTGTCCACCTCCCAGCCAATGCTACCTTTCTCTTGTCTTTCTAACAATGGCCATCCTAACAGGCGTGAGGTTTTGAGATAGAGAAAAGTCAAAATGTAAAAATGTGAAACCAAAAATGTGTAATAAGAAAAACCATTTGACCTCTTACATTCACCCATCACTCAAAAAAGCACTTCTGACACCAGATGTGTGTGTGTTGGGGGGTTTTCCCCATACACCAAGCAGTTCTCCAGTGGACATCAGCTGGGTGTTTAATTCAACTCAATCTGATGCCGTCTTCCTGAAGCTGTCGCATATCTGACTGCATGGGTTCATTTCAACTGATAGGAGATCTCTCTCTCTCTGTCTCTCTTTCTGCCTTTCAAATAAAATAATTTTAACAGTTTCTTCCTGGAGATGTTATTGTGGTGTAGTGGGTTAAGGTGCCACCTACAATGTCAGGATCCTATATGGGCACCAGTTCAAGTCCCAGCTGCTACACTTCCTGTTCAGCTCCCTGCTAATGCACTTGGGAAAGCAGTGGAAGATGGCCCAAGATGGCAGAGTCAGATAGAGAGGTCTTCCTTCTGCTGGTTCACTCCCAAATGATTGCAACAGCTGGGGCTGGGCGTGGCCGAAGCCCAGAGCCAGGAGCTTCTTCCTGGTCTCCCACTGGGTGACAGGGGCCCAAGTACTTGGGCCAACTTCTGCTGTTTCCAAGGCTCATTAGCAGGTAGTTGGATCA